TCAAAACCACAATGAGAACCATTTGACACCTATTAAGATAGCTACTATAAATAACATTTTGATGAGGATGTGAAAATAATTGGAACCCTTGTGCATTGCTGGTGGGAATGTAAAATGGTGCAGCCACTGGAAATCAATCTGGCAATTCCTAAGAAAACAATTTATAATCCAGCAATTCCACTTCTGGGTATATAATAGAATTGAAAGCAGGGACTCAGATATTTGTACACCCATGTTCATTGCAGCATTATCCGTAATAGGCAAATGGTGGAAACAATGTTGTACATACATACCATAGAGTATTATTCAGCCTTCAAAGAGAGGGAAATTCTGATTTGCTACAACATGGATGAACCTTAAAAACATAATGTTAAGTGAAATAAGCCAGACACAAAATGACAAATACTGTATAATTCCACTTAAATGTGGTACCTAGAATTAAGTCAAATTTATAGAATAGAGGTGAGGTGGGAAGGGTGAGTTATAGTTATTTAATGAGTACAGAGTTTCATTGACGGGTAATTTTAGTTCATTTAATGAGTACAAAGTTTGGGATGAAAAACTTCATGAAAATGTATACTGGTGATCATTGCATAACAATATTTATAGCCACTGAATTGTACACTTAAAAGCGGTAAATTTCATTTGACATCTATTTTACCACAGTAAAAAGGGAAAAACATACTAGAATGAAGACAAATGGTTCTATAGAGAATAAAACTAAACTGTTTACAGAGTACCTACCAGGTGCAAGAGGCTGTGCCGGCAGAGACACGTGACTTCTGAAAAAGGCTCCAGAGAAGGTGCTCACACCCAGCCAGGATCTGGAGATGGGAGGCCTGGAGAACGGTACCTCTGCCTACCTCTTGGTGCTTCCGTAGGTACTCACAAGGCAATATGTGGTGAAGACACCAAGATACTGGAGCCATGCTGCTTGAGTTCAAATCCTGGCTGGCCTTTCCAGCTCTCCGCTTAGACAAGTTACTACCTTCCTCAGTCTGGAGATTACTGCAAAATGAGGATAACCACCCACTTCCTAGGGCCCTTCGGAGCATTGAGTTCGTATGTGTGAAGCATTTAAGAGTTCTTGGCTCATGGCAGTGCTCTGTGAAATGTTAGCTCTTAACATTTATTATTCAACGAGGAGCACAGCAAGGGAGTTTGGATAAAGGGAATCATTTAAGCAAAAGCAGGATTTTAGGAGAGAAAAGGCCAAGCATTCCATTTTGGGCTGGATTTAATGGGTCAGGCAACCACTGAAGTGCTTTGAGCAGGAGAGCTATGTGATCCGAAGTGGTGGTCTGTGAAGGTGCATCTCTGCAGAGATGATGAACCTTCCTGGGAAGGGGACCAGAGATGGTGATGAGCCTCTGGAAGTTGCAATAAGGATGAAGGGATCCAGAATATACCACTGTCAAGATGTTTCTTTCTGGGTTCCCTTTATCTGCCAAAGCAGAGTCTCCCAAAAGAATTCAACAGTCATAAAAATCCTCCCCAGGAGTTTTGCAACCAGGGACTATTGACTCTATCACCAGAGACTAGAAGTTGACACTACTGGGATAAGAATGCACCAAAACAGATACTGTCACAAAAGTACCGTATCTTTCATCTATTCTCCTAACGGCTCACTTATTTTTCCTGTGTCATTTGTTTCTCTACAAGTGCCGCTTCACCCCTTTCCCTCCCTCTGTTAAGATGGTATATAAGCCCCAGACTCAAACCACCTCTGAGTCACATTTTTCTGGGAATTTCCTCAAACGTGCATAAAAATCTTTTCTCGCTAATCTGTCTTTTGTCCATTGAATTAGCACACCTCCATATTAAGAATGTCAGAGGGTAGAAGAAAAGTTTTTTCTCTCTAACAAGGATCTGATAGATGCTAAAGAGAGTGGTAATCCAAAGAGAAAACCTTTCATTTAAAATAAATGAAAACTTAACTGCAGTGACCATTTTTTTTGTGGAGTGGGTATTGGGGGTTTTCACAGTGTCTAAGGTTTTGAGACAGGTAGGATAAGAATTTAGAGGTCAATTAGATGGAATGCAACCACTCCAGTTATCCCGTGTGGATTTAGAAGATAAGAACCCATATGAACCCATAATTTGCTGGGGTCTTCACTAGAAAATCTGTGTGAAACAGCCATCAATAATCATTGGTCTTGTTCTGTCTATCAATACCATTAGCCTTGTTCTGGGTTGAGGCAAATAGCCCCAGCTTGCTATTTGCAACCCAACCTGTTTGGCTGCTGTCCCTTAAGTTCCTGATTATGGGGTCCTTTTTGTCTGACTTCAAGTCAGTAGAACACATTTTGCATGAATACAGACCTGTGTGTGTGTGTGTGTGTGTGTGTCTGGAACATCCCCATGTGGTTTCTTGCAGCACCCTCTCCAATGTAGCTCCTGTGGGTATTAATTTGAGGGATGTTGAATAGCATGTTACCAGGGGGTCTCCCAGGTGTGCTTCTGTTTTTTAACAAAACTACCTAGAGCAAACTGAGGCAAAGGCTACCAGAATTCCATTCTTGTAAACTAAAATTCCGTAAGTGTAAATACCAGATTCTAAGAAAATAGGGTACTTAAAAGCCTACTTGCATGATTTCCTTAGGCCAGGAGAAACCTGAAAATGCGTCCTTTTTTAGTGCTTGGGCCTAATATACAGCCTTATAGGCCGTAGGCACTCCCCCAACATCCTATCATACATAAAATGTATCTAATGTTCCATGTGGGATATTGTTTTTTGCTGTAAAAATTTATAGTATCCTTATGATTGATTTGATCGTTCAAGTCACTTTGTGGTATCTAAGCCTATAGAGCCCAAAAGATAAAATCTGGCACCATAATGCTTTGGGATAGAGGACTCTCAGCTCTCCCAACTCTCCTCATCACCTGTAAATCCCATACCAGTACTGCCCTTAGACTTGGGCTAATAGAGTCCCAGCTCTGGCCCCATGCTTTAAAGGCCCCACCTGGCCTCCTCTACCATGCTCTTCCCCATGGGCAAGGAATCTGCCTAGGGAAATTGCCATACCAGTACTGCCCTTAGACTTGGGCTAATAGAGTCCCAGCTCTGGCCCCATGCTTTAAAGGCCCCACCTGGCCTCCTCTACCATGCTCTTCCCCATGGGCAAGGAATCTGCCTAGGGAAATTGCCCACCCCAAATCTTCACCCTTCTTTCCAGACCACACTGCAGGTTCTGGGATCTGGAATCCCCTGCCCAGCCATCTCTGAGCCTGCTTCCAGAGCTCTCTTTAGGCCTCTTGGCTTGGTCTGCCCTCTGAAAGCTGCACCATGCTCCCTGTGTGCGCACTCCTAGCCCTAGGGTTTCAAGTGGTAGTTTCTTAGAGGTGTGTGGACAGAGCCTGGATGTGCACGCACAAGCTGGAATGTCCACATGTGTGTGAGTGCAGGATGGAGATGCTAGTGAGAAGAAAAAAGGGTCAGGCCAGAGGTAGGGAGCTGACTTCCCCCATCCTGCCATGTCCATCCAGTATGGAGCTCTGACATGAAGTCTGAGAATTCTCAATTCAAATCTGGCATAGTTTTCAAGGTAGGAAGATAAAAAGTATTTAACAATCTATTAATTTTATTTACACTTTGAAATATTTACACATATGGTATAAGGCCTTCCATCTTGTATTTTTGGCCCAAACTGCACAAAACTTAGGGGTGGGCCTTTCCCACACAATGCTTTACACCCTTTTCACTAAATGTTTAATACCTTTAAATGACATTTCAAAAATTTTTTTTTCAAATGAACTTGTGTCCACATCTAACTGAAGAAGAATTGTCTACTGCCAAAGCCTGGGATACACACAATGGCAAGAACATTATGGTAATATAGTAGGTCATTTATTTCCTGTTTTTCTGGTTTAAAGATGTTTTGGCAGGATTTTATTTGAGGAAGAGATGAAGGGGAAGATACAGGTACAATTTATTAAGTGGCAGACATTGCTAAATACTTGAAAGCAGTGTCATTTTAACTCCCCAAAATAGCCTTGTGAAACGATTCTGTTCTCACTTTAGAGAGCAGGAAAAAAATGGTTGACGGATTTGAACTGGAGTTCAGAGACATGGGCATGACCAGGAGGGGCCTGAGAAAGGAGTTAAATGCACAGCTTCTTTCCCCAGTGACACGGGCTGGCATGTGAAGCACAAGGGGCTTCCCCAGAGGCCCAGCAGCTAAATGCTGAAGGGCAGTCATCAATCGTGAGCTCAGGCTAGCTCAGGGATGTCAAGAAGCAGGACAGCCTCTTAGGAAGCACTTTTGTAAAGTGGCCGGTGAGCATCGTTGTGAGAATGATATAAGAGATTATTGACTTTTAGTGAAGGGAGAGGCAGGTATGCTAAAGGTCTTGCCCTCAGAAGCACTGTCCTAGATTTGGAGCAGGATTTTCAGACAATGTGACTTTTGAAAATCCCACCAGGATTCATGTAGGTGAACACCTGTTTCTGATTATCCAAATCTCAAATGCATTCTGTTTTACATATTAACACCATTTGGAGAGAGGGAGCATGATTTTAGGATACACTTAATTTTCCAGGAATGCATGTAGGTTCAAAGATAGAACTTTTACTGGGAACTCAATCCATTTAAAAAACCACACCATCAATAGCATCAGTTGTTATTATATTCACAATAGTTGTATGTGTGCTTAGCACTAATTTTTATATTTCGCTAATAAAGAAGTCCAACAGTATTCAGTTGAATATTGTTTTACATATCCACACTTCATTATTAAACAGGTGTAGAATCTGTTTAGTTCACTGCCTTTTACTGTTTTGGTACTGTAATATTTTCATATTAAATACATATTATATAGTAGTTAATCATATTGTGTTTCTGAAAGTGTATGTGAGAGAACGTTGTTAATGATTTTTTTCCTTCCAAGAGAATAACGGGGTCCTGAGGACATACTTATTTGCCAAGGGGGCGTTTCCGACCGAGCCGGCCCCGCCCCGTGACGCGCACCCTGCCCCCCGCCAGCGCCTTCCGCCACACTCAACATGGCGGCGGCGGCCCGCCCAGACGCCTGAGCCGGTTGCAAGAGGCGTGTTCCACTGCAGTCATGGCGGCCCCCGGACGGGCCGCTGGCAGTAGGGCTCTGGAAACGTGCGGTCTGGAGCGGATTTTGGAGGCGTTGAAGCTGCTGCTGAGCCCGGGAGGTGAGAGGACGGACTTCGGCGCCGGGCTGCACCGGGGCTCTCAGGGCCGTCAGTCGTCAAGGGCCGCCTTGCCTCCCGCAACGTGCGCCCCTCAGGCCTCCCCGCGCCCCCGGGACCCGGAGGCCGTCCCACCCCGAGCCTGGGAGCTTTGGGTTTTGTCCAGCCTAATACCTTTGAGGCTCAAGTAGGGGATGGGACCCATACCAACGCCTCGTGAGCGCTTACGTTGTAGCAGGCACTGTGTCAAGCGCCTTGGGTACATGCTTTCCTTCAGTCCCTACTGCAGCCTTCCAAGGTAGGGCTGCGGAAGGAGCTTCCTCGAGGGTAGGCGCTCCTGCTGTGCAACGTGAGGGCCCAACTTCTGGAGGACCCAGGGTCCGTGTGGACACCGGAGATTTGTACAGTGCTGAGGAGTCCAGGAAAAGGAAGCAGTGGCGTTGGAGCTGGGTTTGGGGAGAGCATGTAGGGGTTCACAGTCTGTGGGAGAGATTTATAGTCACTGTTAATCTTAACGTGGTGGGCTGACAAGATCTTCGCAATCTAGAATCTGAAGGGATCTTGGGAGTGGTTTAGCCTGGCACTCACCATTACAGCTGAGTACACCCAGGGCGCACTGAAGAGATTTAAGTAACCTGCCCCAGTCAAGTGGTCACATTAGGCGTAGCACGCAGACCCAGAACCAAGGTTTACCGAAGTCCCTTCTCAGACCAAGGCAATTACTTAGTATGGTGGCTCTGATGTTACCCGAAGCTTTGGGAAAGGACACAATTGAAAGGTGGCCCTGTGTTATAAATTGGACTGTATATTTTGGAGGAAGGAATTTGTAGGGCGAGCAAAGGGACCTGAAGGGCTGTGAGGTGCGGTTCCAAGTTTTGAGACACATCCCCAAATTACAAAAACTCCTGCAAACATTCTACGGTACCTGACGGAAGTGAAATCAGTAATAATAATAATTGAGTGCCTACTAAGTATCAGTCCCTATAGTATGCTGTTGATGTGTACATACCACTTAACCCTCACAGCAATCCCAATTGATAGGTGTTACTTGTATTCCATTTACTAGATGAAGGAACCAGGGCTCAGGAACATTGGAAATTGTCCATTGTGAGTCTATTAGCTGGTAGAGCTAGGATTTGAACTTGGGCACCTTCCACTTTAGTATGATAACTGTACTCCTTCTCCCCAGTGAAGAAAATAAACTGCAAAATACCATTTTAACTTGCTAATCAAGAGGTCACTTGTCTAGTAACTGCAACTATTTAAAACAACTGAGAACAAGGTTAAAAAAACAAAAAGTCTGGAAGTAATCATATATAAAAGCACATAGACATAAAACACATTTATACAAGACCCTCCCTATAGCTAGCTCTAAGAGTATGTGGTGGAGTTACATGCATGTGCTATTTAGCTTACAAGAATTCAATTCAGTTTATTCATTCCTGTTTGAAAAAGAGTAGTGTAAGTAGTGTGATAAAATAATATCATTTGCACATATAGTCTATTATATATTGTATGCATGTGCCTTCTGTTTGATCATATCTGAGGGCATTAAAAAACACCTGAGCATAATGATTACTGAGCTGTCACTGGTGGACAAAGGTGTTCAGGAGACAGGGTGAAAGTATTGGTTAAAATTACATCTCACTGGATTAAACATTTTTGATTTCTCTTTAAGTTGACTACCTTCGAGGTAATATTTACTGAGAATCAACTTTGTATAGTATTCTGTCCTCAATGCTACAAAGATATATCACAACTTGGGCTCTCAAGCATCTTGTCTGGGGAAATGGTGTTATACATACACTCAGAATGGCAAGAGAACCCTAGTGGCGAGTGGACAGTACAGTTAACAGTTGGGTATAGGAATTGTACAGGGGTGTGGTGGCTGTGGACGGCTGCAAGAGGAAGATGTCTAGGTGGGACTTACATAAAAGAACAAGATACCAACAGTTTTTCACTGTTGAGCCTTCAAAGTTCTGCTACATTAAGCATTTTCTCTTCCCTTGCCTTCCATTTCTGTTCTCAGTCCTAGGGCAAATACAAAGAGTGTCTACACTTCCATTGTTAGAAATTGTGTTCAGCAGAATTTGAAAAGGGTTTGTCAATTTAGTGAAGTTCTTTTAGTACAAAATGGAGGACATCTCAGCAATAGTTTCCTAAAAAATAACTTCTGTACTAAATAATAGACTCACTCAACTCTTTCATTAACTTTGAATTAATGGGGGCCGTGGGAGAGGTGGAAATTCTGATAATTTGTAAATAATGAAGCTGTATCACATTTATTTTTGCATGCCATATTGCTTTGAACTTTGAATTTCATAAAATGTACCATACACATTGTGAAGTCTGCTTTTAAATGTCACAAAGCATAGATATTTAAATTGGTAATTAGGAAGAATAAATCATGCTGTTCATGAGGGCAGCATTCCTGAAATGTGATAGGGATGGATGGGTTTAGGTGGTAATAGAGAAATATTTTGAGGCTGAATAGTGGAGTGGAGTGATTCAGAGCCTGGGCTCTGTCCAGACTGCCCTGAGTTGAATATGCCCTGGGGCAAAAAGCCTTCCACAGCCTCCTCATTTGGGAAGAAGAATAATGTTATAATACCTAACAGAGTTGTGATGTTAACTTAAATACTTAATGCACTTAGAACAATGTATTAGCTACAGCTAATATGTTTTAAAAAATGATTTAATTTGAAGAAGTAATTAAATGAATAAAGCAAATGAAAATACAGTCAGTACTCAGATAAATGGCAAAAATTGTGGAAAGAACTATGTGAGTGAAATTTGGAAAGCATCATTTTAAGGCAACAGATCTAAAACTGGTTTTAGCACTCTTTTTTCACTCTTAAAAATTGAGGACTTTAATGAGTTTTTCTATGGGTTATACATATCAGTATTTGTTATATTAGAAATTAAGACCTTAAGAGAAATCTTTTAAATTTATTTAAAAATAACAATAACAATCCCATTTTGCATAATGACATTTTTAATGAGAAATATATTTTGAAAAAGAACTTATCAGGAAGAGTGGCATTGTACATTTTTGCAAATTTTCCTGTCTGGCTTGTTAGAAGGCAGCTGGATTTTCATATTTGCTTTTCCCTACAATCTGTCATGATAGGTTGTTTTGATTGTAGTAGATGCAGGAAATTTAGACTCTCATAGATACGTAGTTGGAAAAGGGAGGAGGATTTAATCACCTTTTCAGGTAGTTGTGTATATTCTTTTATAATATACTAAAACTCAATAGTAGGTAATTTCTTAAAGGTTGATTGCAGTATGGAATCTGAACTGATGCACTTTTCATACTTGGTATACTTATGAGATAATGAGAGCATAAAAGGCAAATGTCTTAGTATTAGTACAGAAATAGTTTTGGCTCTATAGACTCCCTGGGAATCTGGAACCTCCTTAAAACCTGAGTCCCATATACCACACTTTAGAAAACTGCTTTAAAGGGATGCCTTTGTTTTCGAGTAGATTTTATTTTTATTACCAGTAGAGGGCAGAGAAGACTGCTTTATTAAGGGGCTCTTGAAAAACCAGCTAATAGCTTTTGTTTTAAATCACTTTCTTTGTGTCTCACGTTTGGGATCAAAACTCTTATAAAGGCACAGGAAGTCACTTGGACGTTGTTTAGTTATTCTAAGGGTTAGTGGCAACAATCTGTGAAAGCCCACATTTCCTTTTCAGGTGTATATTAACCAAAAGAACGAGATATTCATGCCAGTGGGTCAGAACACTTGAACTAGAGAAGTTCTGGAAAATTCTTAGTTTTCTGCTTCTCATTATTTTTAAAGAACAATGTTATTGTTCCTTTTTCTTTTTATAGATGTGGTTAATATTCCTTATAGTAAAGCTTAAAAATAGATACAAAAACTGAAAGAAGAAAATTAAAAATGACCTCAATCCCCACTACCCAGAGATTGCATTTGGGGGAAAAAAATTTTTTTTTTTTGCATCAAACACTGAAATGTCTTTATTATTATGAGTGCTGTTTTTCCTAAAAATTAAATATTTACAGATAACTTTGGAAGATAGATAATTATAATTAGATACTATTCTTTTTTTGACACCAGTTAACTCATATAAGATATACATTGTTTTATAACCTTAAAATAACTTTATTTAGTATAGAAACAATACATATTTACTGTAGAAACAAATTTATAATTAAACAAAAATATACCCCACCTATAACCCTACCACCCAGAGATCATCACAGTTTAATACTTTCAAGTATAAATTTTGAGACCTTTTTTTCTGTGTGTGTGTATATATGTACATATATATATTTTAATATAGTTAGGTTCATACTGTTCCTTTATTGATGAAGTTTCAGAATAATCAGTGTCTTAATCTCCAAAAGGTAGCCAATGAAATGATTTTTTGGTTTATTATGGACTAACATTTTTTTGGATATGATATGTTTCAATTATTGTATTCATTATTCTTGATATAAAATTGTCCCACTTGTGGCCTGTGGGAGCCATCGTGAGTTGATCTTGGCTCTTTGACATGATCTTTGGAGTCTTTGATATTTAATAGCTTCCTTGCTTTCATTCATGACAAGATGTCCCAGATTCATCTTACACATTTCTCGTTCCATTGTTTTTTTTAAAGTGTAATTTTTTCTTTATTCGCTTGTTTTAAAATACTAGTCATTCAATTGTGAATAGGTATTATATCTACATGGTTCAAAAATATTAAAATATAAAAAGATACTTGATGAAGTCTCTCCTATCCCCATCCCCAGTCACTCAATTCTCCCACATTGGGTAAACGCTATTGTTTGTTTCCAGTGTACCCTACCAGAAATTTGTTTGTTTTTTGTTTTTAAATTAAAGTATCATTGATATACAATCTTAACGAAGGTTTCACATGAACAACATTATGATTTCAGCACTGACCCATATTATCAAGTCCTCATCCCCCACCCCTGCCCATTGCAGCCTCTCTATCAGCATAGTGAGATGCTATAGAGTCATTACTTGTCTTTGTACTGTACTGCCTTTCCCATAACCTACCTATATTGTGATTGTTAATTATACTGCCCCTTAATCCCCTTCTTCCTCCCACCCACCCTCCCCAACTCCTCCCCTTTGGTAAATGCTAGTCCCTTCTTGGAGTCTGTGAGTATGCTGCTCTTCTGTTCTTTCAGTTGTGCTTTGTGCTTTGTTGTTATGCTCCACAAATGAGTGAAATCATTTGGTATTTGTCTTTCTCCACCTGGCTCATTTCACTGAGCATAATACCCTCCAGGTGCATCCATGTGGTTGCAAATGATAGGATATGTTTTCTTTTTATGGCTGAATAATATTCCACTGTGTATATGTATTTATCCATTCACGTACTAATGGACACTTGGGTTGCTTCCATTTCTTGGCTATTGTAAATAGTGCCATGATAAATATAGGGGTGCATATGTCTTTTTGAATCTGAGAATTTTCTTTAGGTAAATTCCTAGGAGTAGAATTCCTGGATCAAATGGTATTTCTATTTTGAGTTTTTTGAGGAACCTCCCTATTGCTTTCCACAATGGTTGAACTAGTTTACATTCCCACCAGCAGTCTAGGAGGGTTCCCCTTTCTCCACAACCTCGCCAGCATTTGTTGTTCCTTGTCTTTTGGATGTTGACCATCCTAACTGGTATGAGGTGATAGCTCATTGTAGTTTTAATTTGCATTTTCCTGATAATTAACAAGGTGGAGCATCTTTTCATGTGTCTGTTGGTCATCTGAATTTCTTCTTTGGAAAGGTGTCTGTTCAGATCCTCTGCCCATTTTTTAATCAGTTTATTTGTTTTTTGGGTGTTGAGGCATGTGAGCTCTTCATAAATTTTGGATATTAACCCCTTACTGAGTAAGTTGTTTATGAATATATTCTCCTATACTGTAGGATGCCTTTTTGTTCTTCTTAAGTCTTTTGTTAATACAGGAAGTGCTGCAATGAATAGATTGGGTGTATGTCATTTTTCATTTTTGCCTGTGTATCTGTTTGGAGGATAGATTCCTAGAAGTGAAGTTGCTGGGTCAAAGGTTAAGTGCCTATGTAATTTTGCTAGATATTGCAGAATTTCTGTCCTTAGGAACGTACCACTTTAGTTCATACCAGCAATGTACGACAGTGTGTGTTTCTTCAAAACCTTGCCACATAATGTGTTATAAAACTTATGGGTTTTAGCCAGTTGATAAATGGGAAGTGATATTTCAGTGTAGTTTTACTTTTCTCTTATGAGCATTGTTGATCATATTTTCATGCTTCAGATCCATTTGCATTTCCTTTTCTGTTCGTATCTTTTGCTCATGTAGTGCTTCATACTGTTTGTTCACTTTAGAATATTCTTAAAGAATATGTCCTTACAGCCACATAATTTAGTGGCTGTAAATACTCCATAATTCACTCATTCAACAACTGCTTATTTTGAACAGCTGCTGTGTGTCAGACAGGACTTGTTCCAGGAGGGAGAATACAGCAATGAATAAAACAGCAACATCCCTGTCCTTACGGGGCTTTTATTGTAATTGGTGGAGAGATAAGAGTAGTAAAATAAATAATATGCATACATGTAATATGTTAGATACAGGTAGACTATAATTTACTTGTCTAATTCCTTGTTATTGAAAATTTTTTTCTAATTTTTCACAATTATAAAATAGTACACTGTTGAATACTTTGTTATTAAATACATTTTGACCCTTTTTAACTTGTTTCTTAGTAGCTACATTAACTTTAGTTTTGAATCTGTTACTGCTTGTATTCATTTGTATTTTCCACATTTTATTATTGTTTTATGACTGTAATCCCCCTTATTGCATTATGTTTTCAGTAGATGTCCAGGAATTACAATATACATCCTTAATTCTTCACGATCTGTTTAGAATCAGTATTGGACTACTTCACATAACATGTAAGAACCTTGCAACTGTAAGGGTCCTTTTACAGCCCTCCTCCCATTTAAGCTTTATGCAGTAGTTTTAATGTTTATTATATCTACATAAGTTATATATCTCATCATATGATTTTATAACATTGCTTTAGTTTTATATATATATATATATTCAAGTAAATTAAGAGGAAAAAATTAGTATTTTATATTTACCCTTCCTGATGTTCTTCATTCTTTCCTAAAGATCCAAATTGCCAGCTGCTATTATTTCCCTTCAACTTGAAGAACTTCCCTTAGCCTTGCTGGCAGTCAATTATCTTCATTTTCATCTATCTGAAAATGTCTTCACTTAATTTTCATTTTTGAAGGTTATTTTTACTGAATATAGAATGCTGAGTTGGCAGGCTTATTATTTTTTTTCTGTCAGTACTTTAAAGATGTTTTTGTGCTGCTTTTGGCATTCATTGTGATGGTAGGCCAACAGTCATTCATAGAATCAGCCCCTTCCTTATATGTAATGTGTCATATTTTTCTGGCTGCTTTCAAGATTTTCTCTTTATCTCTGGTTTTTAACAATTTACTATATGATATATATGATTTCCTTTTTACTTTTCCTGATACTTAGAGGTTAGACATGGCTGGAGATAAAAAATTGAGAGTTGTTAGCTTATAGATGTTTCTTTAAAGACATAGGCCTAGATAAGATCATCGAGAAAGAGAATGCACCGTTCAGGACAAGCCCTGGAGAACCGAGATATCTGGTAGAGGAAAAGGAGGCAATAGAGGAGACAATATAGGGATGGCCCTTTGCAGTAGGAGGAAAACCAAAGAGTACAGTGTTCAGGAAGCCAGGAGAAGACTGTTTCAAGGAGGGCATCGTGAACGGTATCTACTGCGGTGAATGTAGAAGAGCTACTTCACCAGTAGAGGGCAGAAAAGACCACTTTTCAAAAGGTTGGGAAATTTGAGAATAGATATTTGGGGGGAGGGGGTTATTAAATTAGTCCCTTTGAACCCTATGTCTGTATTTTGTGATCTACCTGACTAGAATATAAGTTTCTTGAGGGAAGGGACTTTGTTTTGTTCAGTGCTTCATCTTTAGTATCTAGAACAGTTTGAGTGAATCTTCAGTGGTACACGTTCATCTTCTTACTTTTCTGTTCTGGCTATAATTTAAACCCAGTAAGGTGACTAAGACATGGTCTCTACCCTCAGAACATGTGGGGAATAGAAGCAAACTAGATGAAGTATGACGTGTTAGGCACACTATTCCAACTACATCCAAAGTGCTATGGGAAGGCAGGAAACGTGGTCTCGAATTCTTTGTAGGCCGTGGTGGTACACCTGGGGAAGCCTTTCCGGAGGTAACGGCATCTGAGCCAGGCCTGAGAAGGTGAGCAAGAGTGGGCAAGGTGTTTCACAAAGAGAGAAGCACGATTTGTTTTCCATGTATGTAATCTCCTTTTCTTTCTTCAAAAGGATCGGGCTTAAGTTCACTACAGATGACAAAATGTGATGTCCTGCTGGCTACTTTAAAATCGAACCTGTCCGCTTTGGAGGACGAATTGCTGAAGGATCCTCACTGGAATGAATTGAAACTCCTGAGGGATGAAATTGCTTATAAGGCAGAATGGCCACTAAACTCTGTGGATGTCACCTGGAGTTTTACCTCTCAAGCCTTACTGTTGCTGTTGTGCTTGAAGGAAACCATGATCTACCTTGTGGCTGATTTCAGTCCAGGTAAACCCAACCCGAGGAGTCCAGAAGCTGCCCCTGCCCTGAGCCCAGATACACTTAGTGTCGCACAGCAGAAGACTGTCCAGTCAGCTTTGCAGTTTGTGGTCACCTTGGGTATCTGCCCCTATCTCATGCCTGGTGTTGGAGTCCCTCTGAGATGCAGGACTGAGTTTGGTGCTGGTGTTCAGGATGTGGTGTGTCTTGATGCTGCCCCAGATGCAGCCCAGAGACTTTACACCAGCTGCAGGGTCCTCCTGAATATTGCACAGCATGCATCTCTGGGGAGCTTGATTTTCTGCCGCCATTTGGGGGATATTGCAGCAGGTCTGTGCCAGCTGGGATTCTGCCCAACTAAGAGGAAATCGCTAAAACCTGAGGAAGAGGTAAATATACATTTTTTGTCTTTGTGTATGTCTGTGTGACCATGCATATGTATTTGTATGTGGGTATTATAAAAGAAAACTCTTAGTTCTTTGGAAAAGGGCTGATGGGAAGATCTAGAATTCCTCTTTAATGCCGAAGCATATCTTGTATATCTTGTGGATAAATAAGTCTTCTTAGGGAGGTAGAGGTTTTGTTTATTAGTTGTTAGTCCCTTGCATGCCTGGAGAGTCCATTTCATCTGTTTCTTCTTGTCATTTTGTGGAACAGCTATTGCAGGCTTTTTGTTTGAGCTTCTGTTTCCTCTTCTGTAAAATGTCTGTAATAATAACTGCTTGGAAGGTGGTTGTAAGGATTAAGGATACTGTGTGGAAAGTACCTAGCCAAGCCCCCAGGAGTGCTCACCAAAAAGTAATGACTATTAATATTAATATTAATATTGAACTATTTATAACTCCCTCACTAAGTTCTTGGGAGGATTGGATGAAATAAAGTATGTAAAGCCCTGTGTACGTGAATAGCTCAGTCGGTGTTCATTGGTATTATTAGTTGTTAGGGGTATGTGCCTGCTTTTTGCTGACAGTCAGTAAGGATTTGAGTACCTGGACTATAAAAGGTGCTGTAGAGGTTACATAAGTATCTGACATGGTCCTTTTCCCAAACAGTTCACACTCTAATTTGGGAGACAAGACTCTCAACTATAACATGGCAGGGATCTACACTCCCCTCATAAGAGGACCACCAGCGTCAGCGCAGGAACCTAGCCAGGAGAGTTGTTAAGACAAATGTATTGAGGGTCATATGCATGGTAGTTCCTTAGACATTGCAGCCAGATCTCATAAAGCCTACCAACCTCGTATGTCACTCTCCAACTTGTTCTTTTTCTGTTCCCTTTTCTTGCATATGTTCACAAACATTTGCCTAAAAGCCACCATTATCCTAGTAGTGACATGAAATCATGATTGTCTCCAGTGCCTTTATGTAATGTGGAGTGGAGCCCTGTGCTACAGGGTATGAGTCTTGATAGTTCTACCAGTGCCTACTGCCTGCTGTTGCTGAGACAAGGGGATCTGGACTGATAGGGGGATACTATTACTGGGCCAAGCAGTGCCCCAGTATGCAGGAGAGAAAAAGGAAACACAGAAAGGACCACGGAGGAAAGCAGGAGAAAAAATGGACAGAAGGGGAACACAATGGGTGGACTTACGAAGCTGGGCAAGTCCCAGGAATAGCTGCTACTTTGAGCCGCGCCTGTACTCAGCTTGCCAAAGGGTTTGGGGGCAGGACCCTGACTGTACTGAGTTATCAAAGGGGGACAGTACTGCTGAGATTCAAGAGGCCCAATCAATAGCACCTCTCTTTGCTGCCCAAGTTCTGATTGAATTAAAAGATAGTTAACCAGTAAGAGATAAAAAGTCAAAATGTTACCTAAAAGTCAAAATGTTACTCCATTACTCAGAAGTACAGAGTTGGAGCATATAGCTTATAGATGGAGACAAATGGACTTCCTACCACTGCATTCAAAAATTAGACTCTCTTATGACTCACCCAGTTTTAGGAGTGCTGGAAAACTGCAGTGCCTTCTGCCCCATGGCATGGGATATGCCTCTGTAGAATCTATAGCAAGGAAGAGCAGAACGCAATGTGCACTTGCTCCCAAGACAGAAGGGCTGAGCTGTGCATACCAGAACTCACCAATAAGTGGGTTTATTTCACACCGACTAATAAGATAAGTCAATAAGATCTGCCCAGAAGTGAGTGGGGGGATGAAGAGAGGGCCTGGAGTGTTTCGGTGTTAGAGCTTCCTCCAAGTGGAAGGAAATCAAGAGGGGGAAGAAGCTGTCCTTCCTCTCCTCACACAAGTACCTTTGTACAGTGTTGTAAAACATTACCTTCTCTCTTGCCTGCCTGGTTTGTATTCTGCTGACGCCAAGTACATGTTTCTTGTAGGTATTAACTGAAGAGGAAAGAGCCCTATCTAGGGAGGCCTTGAGAGACATCCTGGATCAAGTGTATCAGCCGTTAGCAGTCCGAGAATTACTTATCCTCCAGGGAGGACCAGCCCAGGTATTCAGGCCTGGGGACTCTTGCGGGAGAATCACTAATGGGATGTGTGGTGTGCTGTCTTTTGGGAAATGGGATAATCTAGTTGAGTCTTATTTTATCCTTTAGATTACTAAGTAGTATTTGAAAACTAAGTAACACTGACTCTTAGGATAATTTAAAAGGATTTTTCTTACAATGGAAGAATATGGAAGAAATGGAAGAATATGCCAAGAATATGGCAGTTTTATTGAAAATATATTTTGTTTATTCTGAAACTGGATCTTTTTTTTAAACTTGTTTTAAAATTTGTCTGATATTATATTCTTTTTGGCAGGACTATTTGAATATTGTATTCTTTGGAGTATTTGAAGTCAAGAAATTAAAATCAGAGCTATTATTGGAACGGTATTTAGCTCCTTTGTCTGAAAAACATAATAGTATATATTCAAGTAGGCAGAAGATAGTCCCTTTTTTTCCTTGAAAATAATTATTTTTCTGAAATTTTTTACTTTGATAATATAGATGTAATTACCTATTTGCTTTTAGTACCTAAATTTTAGTTATGAATCTGGATGAGTAGAGTAATGGGTCTAAGAAATTGGCTCTAGGTCAGGAACAAGGACCAGCTAAAGCTGGGGGTACAAAGATACTTCCTAGTTGAAGTCATTTTCAACTCATCTCTAGGATATTACTTGTAGCCTCCTGTTGGGCCCCTCTGGCTTCTCTGAATGAGCCCATTGTTTGGCCAGATTAAACCAAATACATTGTAAGAGTGTGGTACAAAGCAGAATCTCTGAAGTTAGGCATAGGATTCAACCCCAACATGTAGCTGTATGAGTTAGTACATGTTTCCATTCCTCAGTTTCCTTACCCATAAAATGGGCATAATAACAATACCTTCCTTGTAAGTCTTTCTTGAGATTGTGGGAGGTACTTAGCACAGGGCCTGGAATATCATAGCCCCTCAATAAATGGGCATTATTTATCTTTCTTAAAGAGAGAGGATAGGCAAATTCAGATTAAATACCTCTGCCACTAATTTTTATGCTCACATATTTAAACACAGTGATTGACAGCAACATAGTGCACATTCTAGGTCCCAAATAAGGGACTGCAAATCTGTTTTGTTCATGGTGGCTCCACAGAGCTCTCTAAAAGGAGCCCTTGAAGAAATCCAAGTCTTTGTTGAAACTGCTGTATCCCAGGAATCAGAGCAGCTATGATCATCGAAGTGGGACTAGGCCGTCCTTTCTCTGTTGTGAACTGTCCTCTTAGTGATGAGTAGTGTTCATAGGAATCTTCTTTGGAAGCTAGATTTGATTGGAAAGACTGTATTCAGATAATAGCACATTAACTTTGTGTTCCCCAAATCTGTATTTTATTCACTGATGTGTTTTCTATTTCTGGGTTTGAAATTTCACTTGATATTTCACTTAAAATTGATGCTGAAGAAGATTTTGTAAGAGAGTCTTTTTTGGAAAAAACGTTGCTCTTCTGAATTCTGTTTAGCATACTATTAATAGTCATTATAACTCAGCATATATATATGTTTTTAATAACTTATACATGTCTATTTCACTGACATTCAATTCATAGCTTTCCCTTCCTTTTTCAGTCTTGCACAGAGGCAAAGACACAAGTGAGGTGCCGGGCCCCAGCCTGGCTTCGGCGTCTATGTGGGCAGCTGCTCTCTGAAAGGTTGATGAGACCCAGCGGTGTTCAGGCGGTAGTCCGGGGCATTTTGGAAGGAGCAGGTGGTAAGAATTAAATGTTTCTGTTACTTTGATATCCAGTTTACTTCTTTTTCCTAAACAGTCATGATCAACTGTTCACATTGTCAAATAATATAGTCAGCTGTTTCAAATAATTTGTAATATCTATGAAAACATTGCACAGAATGTTTAAGCAAAAGCCTAAAGAAAATGTGAAATTCCCTATGGGAAAGAGCTTTGTACCAGGTGCTGAGAGCGTATCACCTCAGGATTAAAATATAAAATGGTTCTCTTGAAGCTGGAGACACCTTAGAGATGCACATTTTGGGATGACATTTTTACATTCATTTCCCAAGTCCTCAACTTTTGTAAGTCCTCACTAATAGAAAAAACTTAATTATGCTAAGCATAGTAGTAGTTTTTAATTAATACTTACTGGTTTTTAGAACAACATTATACATGCACATAGTTTGAAGAGTCAAATAGATCTATAGGGAAAAGAAGCAGTCCTTGGCACCTCTCCACCCCATTTGTCTCCCTGAAGCAACTGCTTTGAACGCCTTTTGCAGGTTTCTTCGTATTTACCTCTGTATTTCTGACTATAATGCACATACAGCACCTTCTTTACTTTTCAGTTTCAGGCATCATCTGTCAGCGTCTCACCACGTGCGGAGGAGGGTTTTGTTCTCTTTCAGAACCCTACTATCATTCCCCGAAGCATACTTCCCATCTCCTCAGTTACTGTATCTTTATTTTGGCCGGATCAATATTCAGAGTTGATATTCTTCTATGTAATTATTATTTACAGCTGACCCATGTAGCACACCATGACCCATTTCTTTTTTACATGACTCTTGTACTTGGAGCTAATGGTCTTTTTTGTTTGTCTGCTTAGTTTTTTTATGTCCTTATCTCTAGCCTGTTCTCAAATTCTCCCCCGTTTGTGTAGGTCTCCTTTTACCAAGTTCACATACACGAGATGTTCCTTCAGTTTCATCTTCCTGGAGGCAAGTCTCTGTGTCTTCTCTGATCTGGACGAGTCGCCTTCACGCAGCTGTCATGCTGGGGCTCCTTCACCCTTGCCTTTCTTTTGTGTTCAGTCCCTATCTCCTCTGTCCCATGCACATTACTGTCCATGCTGCTGTAACAAATTACCACAACTGAGTGGCTTTTTGGTGGAAATAACATTTAAACTGAGCCCTGAAAGCTGAGTAGTTGAAGAGTGAGAGAAGACCATTAGAGGCGGAGAGAATAACGTGTATGAAGGAACTGACGTAGGGAAGAGCAGTGAGGGCAGAGAATGGTGTGAAGTGAGGGACATGGGTGGGCAGCGGCCACGTCACAGAGGCCTGGGGGATTTCAGACTTTATTCTGAGGGCAAAGAGAAACCATGGGAAGGTTTTAAGAAGGAATGAGGCGTGATCAAATCTACATTTTAGAAATATCTATCTAGATGTATTGTGAAGAATGGGTTGGGTGAGAGCAGAAATGGAGGCTGGTTAAATAAATTATGGGACATTAATGAGATAAAATGCTGTGTACCCATGAAAAAAGAAGGAGGCAGCTCTAAATGAAATGATTGTATGAAATGTAATCATTCAATATGGGCCCACCTTGCTTGCCTTCTCTCAGAGTTCGGTGTCCTGGGCCACCTGGTTTTCATTGTCTGAAAATGATTGTTTATATATTTTGTCCAGTTTTCTTACTTGATGCCTTATGTATTAGGAGGACTTTCCATGCTCACGAGTGGGAACAGAAACTATTCCCAGCCTTGTGTGAACTCTGGATTGTTTCCGTTGCTCCTTTCTTGTGGTTCTTGCACCAGCCTGTTTTCCCCGCACACGCATGCATGCTCCACCACAGACTTGAGAGAGGACTCTGCAGATCTCTGGAGTTCTCTCTTTGTGTAGCTTCCTCCTCTCTGGTGTACTGCCCTGAAGATTCTAGCTGCCTTGGCCTCCCTGAACTCTGAGCCATGTTTCTTTAACTCAAAAAGACACCAGGCCAAAGGTTTGGTCTCTCCTTTGCTGTGGCCCTAAACCTCTAGGTAGGCTAGGGAATTCATGGGGCTTCCCTTGTTGCTTTCTTCTCTCAGGGATCAGTGTCCTGAGCTGCCTGTTGTCTAGTGTCTGAAAATCATTGTTTAGGTATTTTGTCCAGTTTTCTATTCATTTAAGGTGGTATGGTAAATTTGGTCCCTGTTACTCCATGGTTTTGTTTAAGGCATTTTAAAATGATGTGATGCATATAAAGAGACATAATAATAAATAAAAATAATGATGTTGGTGATGATAACAATGGAAGTAATGAACAAGCTCGTATTCAAGTCATATGAATAATATCATTACAATGATTAAGTGCTACTTTTTCTCTGAACTTCCCAGAAGCCAACATTGAAAGGAAGGGTAAATTATCTTATAGAAGAAGTAAACAATTTTCAGTGGAGAAAAAATGCTTTTTACCCCAAGTTTTAAAGACCTGATGTGGGGAACTGACATGAGTCTTTGACATCTCTGTCCATTGCTGGCAGCTGGGCCGGCTGGTGGGAGTGATGCAGAAGCCACAGCCGCCGACTGGAAGAAGTGTGACTTGATTGCAAAGATCTTGGCCTCTTGTCCCCAGCAGTCTCTTTCACCAGAGGATTACTATCGGGATATCTGCCCCCAGGTAAATACTTCTGTCTCTTTTGACCGTTTGAGGATTATCTGCTTATTTACAGAAGGAGGACTTTTAATGTTTCTCTAATACTGAGGTAAAAGCAATAGAAAATTTAAGTTTATTGTTCAGTGAAGGGCCATCTTAATAAGTGAATAAAAACCCGTGGTAGCCCCACAGCAACACAGCTTCTCTTCCTCAGCCTGGTGACTGTGGCTTCCCCTCAGTCATAATGCCCGCGGCCACCACACAGCTTATGTTGCTTTTTAGTCGTCAGGGTCCCAGTATCAGACAAGGAGAAGAGAAAGATCACAAGGGAAGTTGTTCAAACCATTTTGGCATGGAAACCGAGAATGTGCAGCTTTTTTGAGTGGCGAGATCTGAAAATTGTGTACAAAAGGTATGCTAGTGTGTATTTTTGTGGTGCCACTGAGGATCAGGACAATTAACTAATTACCCTGGCAATAATTCATCGTTATGTGGAATTACTTGACAAACATTTTGGCAGTATGTGTGAACTTGATATGATCTTTAATTTTGAGAAGGCTTATTTTATTTTGGATGAATTTCTCTGAGGGGAAGTTCAGGAAACGTCCAAGAAAAATGTCCTTAAAGCCATCGAGCAGGCTGATCTACTGCAGGAGCCATGTCATTTAATTGCCCTGTGTACTAAATGACTGCTACTCATTGTGTATGCAGAATTTCCCAGAGCAAATAGAGAGCTGATAAACTTATGAAAGCAAATATCCTCGCCTTGGTGATTGATTGTCTTGTATAATAATAGTAGAACATTTCAGAACTAATACCTTTACAAGTGTGGTTTTTTTTCTGTTCTCATGCCTCTTTTCTTTTCATTTTCATTTTCTGTGTGATCTTGAAAGATTATATTCCTGCTCACAACTGGCTTAATTTCTTCTTGAAAAAATGTGGCCTATGAATGTTTTGAGTAATATTTCATCTTAAACACATACATGTCATTTATGAACCATCTGTTATTAATCTTATAAGAGGAAAACCTAGCAATAAAGAAACATAGCTGTAATGCTAGGTGGAAATAAGCAGTGCCATAATACAATGTAGTGTGGTTTGGTCTTCAGATGTTGGAGGTGTGCAGGGAGAAACTATATCTAGCGTGACTGTAGTACAGTCTGTATGAGCTAATGTATTCTAATGTATCACATTAAAAGAAAAGGCTATTTGGAAATAATACAAGAAAGTAAAAATCCATACTATTATATTTAAGGTAGACTATTCAGTTTTTAAGAAATATGTAATGCCACATTTATTTATTTATTTTTTAATTAAAGTGTCATTGATATACAATCTTATGAAGGTTTCACATGAACAACGTTGTGGTTTCAACATTCACCGGTATAACCCCCCTGCCTCTGCCATTGCAGTCGCTGTCTATCAGCGTAGTAAGATGCTATAGAGTCATTACTTGTCTTCTCTGTGCTGTACTGCCTTCCCTGTGATCTACCTAGATTGTGATTGCTAATCATAATGCCCCTTAATCCCCTTTTCCCTCCCCACCTCCTTCCCTTTGGTTGGGGAGTCCCTTCTTGGAGTCTGTGAGTCTGCTGGTGTTTTGTTCCTTCAGTTTTGCTTTGTTATACACCACAAATGAGTGAAATCATTTATACTTGTCTTTTTCCACCTGGCTTATTTCACAGAGCATAATACCCTCTAGCTTCATCCATGTTGTGAATGGTAGGATTTGTTTTCTTTTTATGGTAATGCCACATTTATTCAATCACATTTGTGCTATGTAATATCAAACAGTCTCTTTAAGAACTATTAGCTATATCAGAAGTTTTTTCAGTATCTATTGCTCAATAGTAAGCAACCTTTTAAAGTATTAATACTGAGTTTATATAGTTAAAATTCCAAAAAGTTTAAATAGCAATATTTTACTAGTTATGGTTTTATAAGTCTTAATTTAAATACAAGTATTTGTTAACTGGTTTTTATATTTCTGAATATTGAAATGTTTAATATTGACCATTATTGTGTATGCTTTTACTAAAACATGCAACATATTTTATTATAAAAGTAAAAGTACCAAATAATTTATTTTTATATTTAGAGAGTTTAAAAGCTTGACTTGAGTAACTATCACTAAACAATAAATTCAAAAGTTGCTGAAACTGGTTTACCATTGAAAGAAGACCTATGACAATTATGTATTAGGCAGGTCTGCAGATAATTATTTCTATTCTTATCATTCTTGCTTATGGCATTACATTTTTTAAAAATTAAGGTATCATTGATATACAATCTTATGAAGATTTTACATGAGCAACATTATGGTTTCAACATTTACCTATATTATCAAGTCCCCCTCCCACCTCATTGCAATCACTGTCCATCAGCATAGTAAGATGGTGTAGAGTCACTACTTGTATTCTCCATGCTATCCTGCCTTCCTTGTGACCTACCTGTATTGTGAGTGCAAATTATAATGCCCCTTAATCCCCTTCTCCCTCCCTCCCACCACCTTCCCCAACCCCTTCCTCTTGGTAACCGCTAGGCCCTTCTTGGAGTCTGTGAGTCTGCTACTGTTTTGTTCTTTCAGTTTTGCTTTGTTGTTATACTCCACAAATGAGGGAAATCATTTGGTACTTGTCTTTCTCTGTGTATGGCATTACATTTGAAGCACCTGGATGGGGGCTATCAAATGAGAAATTTATCATTATACATTGAAAGCATTGGGAAACATTAGTCTTTCATTTCCATTTTCTCTTTTACCCTTCTTCCTGCCCTGAAATATGTTCATCTGGTTTTAGTGCTGCAAAAAATATGCATTGTCTCATGCCTGTTTGCTTTGGATGCTGTGTGCTGAGCTATAACAAGATGTTGCTTCTTTTATCTGTATACAGCTGTTTGCTTTAAATTAGGAAATCTTGAAATAGCTTTCCTTGCATGTCTAAAATGAAAATATTGCATGTCCAAAAAAACCCAAGCAACCATATGAAAGAGACTGGTTATTACATATGTACAATTATACATATGTGTATTTTATCCAAATGATAACATGCTACATATGCTGTTCTTCATTTTGCTTTTTTAACTTAACATACCTTGGAGATCATTTCATGTAGAGATGCCCCATTCTTTTTCATGGTTACATAGTATTTCACTGGGTTAATGTACCACAGTTTATTTAAGGAGGCTTCTTATCAATGCATTGATTTGAGTTGTCTCCATTCTTTTGCTTTTACAAAGCATGCTACAGTTAATAACTATAAATCTTGTACACATGTAAATATTACCATAGGAAAAATTCCTAGAATTGAAATTACCAGTTCAAAGGGTATATGCAGTTAAGTTTTTGATTGATACTGTTTAGGTACTTCCACACCTTTGCCTAAAGAATGTTACAAAAGTTTTCTATCTTTGCTAATCTCACTGGTGAAAAATAGAGAGGGAGTTTTCTTTATCAGTACTCCCATGCATTTAGATGTAAGACACCCTTTTTCAGTACACTCCCAAGAATTCAGTTTGCTATGCTGATTTTCAGATGAGCTATAACAAGATGTTGCTTCTTTTATCTGTATACAGCTGTTTGCTTTAAATTAGGAAATCTTGAAATAGCTTTCCTTGCATGTCTAAAATGAAAATATTGCATGTCCAAAAAAACCCAAGCAACCATATGAAAGAGACTGGTTATTACATATGTACAATTATACATATGTGTATTTTATCCAAATGATAACATGCTACATATGCTGTTCTTCATTTTGCTTTTTTAACTTAACATACCTTGGAGATCATTTCATGTAGAGATGCCCCACTCTTTTTCATGGTTACATAGTATTTCACTGGGTTAATGTACCACAGTTTATTTAAGGAGGCTTCTTATCAATGCATTGATTTGAGTTGTCTCCATTCTTTTGCTTTTACAAAGCATGCTACAGTTAATAACTATAAATCTTGTACACATGTAAATATTACCATAGGAAAAATTCCTAGAATTGAAATTACCAGTTCAAAGGGTATATGCAGTTAAGTTTTTGATTGATACTGTTTAGGTACTTCCACACCTTTGCCTAAAGAATGTTACAAAAGTTTTCTATCTTTGCTAATCTCACTGGTGAAAAATAGAGAGGGAGTTTTCTTTATCAGTACTCCCATGCATTTAGATGTAAGACACCCTTTTTCAGTACACTCCCAAGAATTCAGTTTGCTATGCTGATTTTCAGGATTCTCATGGGTGGACAGAAATGAGAACAAAATACCATAATATAACAACTTATATTGAAAAATATATAGTATTTTTCTTGTAGGACAAAGTTAGCATTTGCATGATGAATAAATATTTCCTGAAACAAGTAGCTGTAGTTTTGGTACTTGACAAAATGATGAAATCAAGGCACAGGGTTCAGGCTTGCTGAGTCCCTCTCTGGCAGTGTTAGAGGTTACATACAGTTTTTGGACAGAAGATTCTCCCGTCTGCAAAAAAGTGCAAAAGTCAATTTTTAAGTCAGAAACAGAAATGCACTTTTCTGTTAGTTGCTTATATTGGGGTAAATCTACTCATAGCTGCTGGAGATCTACTATGTTTATCTTTGAGAATAAAATAGATTGTTGTCTGGGTAGTTCAGACATGGCACGTTCTTCAGACCTTAAATATATTTATATACCTTGACCCAGTAATTTCATTTGGTGGTGCTATTTATAAGAGCAGAATTTGGTGAAAAAGCTGAATGTCTGGATATTAGTGAATAATTTAATAAATTCTTATATACAGTCAAATATAACATTTTTGAGGAATTTATAATAATATGAGAAAATTTCAGCAATACACAAGACTGTTAGTATTAAGTATGGTCTCAATTAAAAGGAAAAAAGAATTATACAGAAATACATTGAAAAAGATACACCACAAATGTTTATAGTGATTTGGGAAGATTTAATTTTCTTTTTTAAAACTTTATTTTCCAGATTTTCTACAGTGAGCAAGTATTTTATAAACTTGATAAAATTATTGAATAAAAATATAGCCTCCTCAGTTCTCAAAATCTTTGAAATTGTGTTATTAAATTTTAAAAAATTCTGTTGAATCAATGTTATTGCAGTGAGTTTAATTTTTGGTTTAAAGAAATTAATGCTTCCTCTTCAGAGTTAATGTAACACTCCTTGCAAAAGTCTGGCATTTACTTCATGTACTTTTTCTTTTAGATTCTAGATTTATTTCACTTTCAAGATAAATTGACAGCACGACAATTTCAGAGAGTTGCCACGACTACCTTTATAACTATGTCAAGAGAACATCCACAACTGGCTGCAAAGTATTTGCTTCAGCCCCTATTAGCTCCTCTTCATCAGTGTTTAAATACACCAGGTAAAGGAGGAAGTCTGGTTGTTGGGTCTTCTTCAGTGTTTCAGATTTAAATGACTTGTATCTGTGGTATTTTGGTGTCTTTAGCTGTCTTCCCCCCAACTTTTTATTTTGAAAAATCCACTTCACCAAAGTTCCAGGAAGAGTACATTGAACCATCCTATCCGTTTGATGAAGATTGACCAACTGTTAACATTTTGGCCACATTTGCTTTATCTTTATGCCATTTGTAACAGCAGCTACATGTTTTGCATATACAATCTACTGATAATAAAAAGGAGTAGGGAGGAATATGACTCCTCTTATATAGCCCCATCATTGCCTCTGGAGAAGCAATCTAAAGTATAAGCTTTCTTTCTTTTCTTTTTTTTCATGTTGTATCACATTTTTAGGATTGTGTGGCAATTATGATGAATTTCCATATTTTATCTATTCCAAGATGCACATTTTTTTTCATACTTAAAAACTTTTTATTTTGAAAATCTGTTTCACATTTTAACCTGATGTCAAAATGCATCTTACGATCATTGTTATCAAGGTAGCAGTCATGGTGTTGTCTGTACCTGTAAATGGACATTAGAACTTGTAGAATGGATGTCAATGACTTAGAAAAAAATTATGAAAAAATATAGAATGGGGGACTCTTAAGAAATGTCACATTGCTCCCTGAACTCTTGGTGGCACAGAGGACAATATATTGTGGCCAGATGTGGATATCAGTAATGGAGTTGAAATGTTTCAGAAGAGTTGGACACTTCATGTCAAGTTTTAATCATTTCTTATCTCATTTATCCCAATTATTTAGTTTATACAAAGAATGATATATAATAAAAATATGTCTAAATAAGTCTAAAAGAACTCTTTTAATACTTAAAAACTGTATTTTGAAACTTTTTAAAGGGAAATTTTCAAATATATCTACAGAGAATAGTGTCATGGATTCCTTTGTACCAATCACCTCGGTATAACCGTTGACTCTGCCATTTTAACTTAATCTAATCCCCAATTTTTCATTCAATAAATTTAGTTAGAATTCTGAGCCATAATGCTTCATAGGTTACTCGGCAGTGTTTATTTCTTTGTTAGTGATACATAAAATAACAATGAATGTTTACAACCAATGACATCATAGATTCCATGAAATATACTTGAATGGTGCCATCTTATACAACTGTAACCATGTCAAATTTTAGTGGTAACTTACCAAACTTTCTGGTAAAACTTTTTTCCTTAGGTCCAGTTTCTTCTCTTCACTGAGGTGCTGAGTGTGGATAATTTTGTTTTTTGTTCTCTAGAGATTCCAGAGAGTGACGTGGTACCAGGGACCATTTTGGTGACAGAAGAAGAACTTACTAGATGTATTGAGGATGTATTTAAGGTTGGATTCAAGGCCCTAATGTTTTTAGCTAATATTTATACTTAGTTTTTAAAAATAATATTTTTTTAGCTGCTATTTCAGGAATTGGAATGACTAATCTTAAATTCCAAACTGTCAAAATCTTTTCACTTTGAAACTGGAAACTATAAGCTGTTAGTGAAAAAACCAGTACATCTTAAAACTGTCAATTTCATCATTTACTCTGAATGTTAAACAGTTTAGATTCTCTAACTGGCACATGCCACTGGTGAAACCATGTCTTTTGAAGAAATTGACAGAGGCATTTGCAATACTAGAGGCTTCCCCAAAGTGTATGATAATATTGAATCTACTTTATAACTTTTGATAGTAATCACCATCATAAAGAAGTCTTAATAAATGAATCTTGTAAATGACTACTTAAATATATACTGAAAATGAAAAAAAATTATAAACTATATATTCTCTATGATTACAATCTTTTAAATACATATGAAATATATATATTTTAGACAAAAATGAAATCCTTTGTGTTAGAGCCAGATGGAGTTGGGTTAATGTTCTTCAAAGAAATTTATTTTGATAAATTTATAATAGTAATTTACCATGAAAACTATATACGCTAGTAAATAGCTTTCAAAATTAAATACCATGTAAAACAGTACAGCCACTTTGGAAAATAGTTTGGTAGTTCCTCAAAAAGTTAAAGATAGAGTTATTATTAGCGGAAGTTCCACTCTTAGGTATATACCCAAGAGAAACGAAAACACATTCACATAAAAACCTGTACACAAATGTTCATAGCAGCATTTTTCATGAAAACCCAAATATAGAAACAACCCAAATGTCTATCAGCTGATGAATGGATAAACAAATGTGATATATCCAAATAATGGAATATTTTTGAGCCTTAAAAGGGAATGAAATATGGATACATGCCACAACATGGATAAACATTTAAAAACTATAATTTCAAAATTTTAAAAGAAGCCAGACACCAAAGGCCACACATTGTATGATTCCATCTAGTATATGAAATGTTCAGAATAGGCAAATTAGTGGTTGCTAGGGGTTGGGGTTGGAAATGGGAAGTGGCTGCTGTGAGTATGGGGTTCCTTTTTTGAGCTAAGGAAGATGTTCTGGAATTAGTGGTGATGGTTATACAACCTTGTAAATTTACTAAAAGCCACTAAATTGTACATTTTAAGAGAGTGAATTTTATGGCATGTGATTTATATCTCAATAATTTAAAAAATCTATATTCCACATTTCTTGTTTCTTTTCAGTGGCAATAAATTAAACATTTTAGAGTATATTTTAAGTGTCAGTTTATTAAGAAATAGTTCAAACATACAAAAAAATATGAAGAGAACAACACTCTTGCACCCAGCTTAAGAAATTAAACATTACCAATTCAGTTGAAATCCTCTATCTACCCATCTCTGATCACACTTTGCTTGCTTTTCACCCAAAGGGCACCACTATACTGAATTTGTATTTATTATTCCGTAAGCTGTTTTATAGTATTGTTGTGTGTGACTTTAAATTTAAATAGCATTATATTATATATGTAGCTTTAACACATTCATTTTTCACTGCTAGATGTCATTCCTTTACTTAACGGTCACCAATTCATTTGTTTATTCTTCTACTGATAGACATTTGCATTATTCCCAGGGAGTTTTTGCCAGTCCATGAGGTTCACTGTGGCCTTAATTAGCAGTTAATAAGTCTTCTCATTACTGGCAAGGTTGAGCATCTTTTGTGGTTTTGGTTCATTCATATTTTCTCTTCTCTAAATTGCCTGTTCATATATTTTGCCCATTCAAAAAATTGGGTTATTTGCCTCTTTAAAAACATTTTTAGAGTAAATCTTTTTTTAAAAAAATAAAACAGCTTTATTGAGGCAGACTTTACAGATCATAAAATAATGTTTTAAGTGTACAAGTTAAATGATTTTTAGTAAATTTACATAGTTGTAAAACCATCACCACAATACAGTTTTAGAATATTTCAGTTACACCAAAAGATCTCTTGTGACTATTTATAGTCACTTCCTATTCCCACCCCTAGCCCTAGGCAACCACAAATCTACTTTCTATTTCCATGGATTTACCTTTTGTGAATATTTGGTATGAGGGAATCATGCAATATGTGTTCTTTTGTGACTGGCTTCTCTCTCTTAGCATAATGTTTCTTAGGTTCATCTAGGTTGTTGCATAAATCAGTATCTTGTCCTTTTTTATTGCTAAGTACTATTCCATTATGTGACTATGGCACATTTTGTTTATCTGTTCATCAGTTGATGGACATTTAGGATAATCTTTTGTTTTTTACTTTATAAGATATAATTCACATACTATACAATTCTCCCATTAAAGTGTGCGTATCAATGGCTTTTTAGTATGTTCACAGGTTTTTGCAGCCATCATCACAATCAATTTTAGGACATTTCATTTTCCAAAAAGAAACTCTATACCATTCCCAAAGCCCTCCACCAACATTCCTTCCATCCTCCCATACCTCCAGCCCTAGATAGCCTCTAATCTACTTCCTATTTCTATAGATTTGCATATTCCAGACAATTTTTTTTGTTGAGGTATAGTTGATATGCAATATTATAATCCTTTCAAGTATACAACATAGTGATTCAATATATATGTATATTGTTAAATCCTCACCCCTACTAGTATATTTACTATCTGTCAACATAGAAAGATGTTGCAGAACTATTGATTATATTCTCCATGTTGTACTTTCATCTCTGTGAGTAATTTATATTATGATTTTGATTTTGTGCCTTTTTATCCTCTTCACCTATTTCACTCACCCACCGTAAACCCTCTGCCATGGCAACCACCAGTCACTTCAGTGTCTTTGAGTCTTTTGCTGTTTTATTCATTTTGTTTTGTTTTGTTTTGTTTTTAGATTCCACAAATAAGTGAAACCACATGGTATTTGTCTTTCTCTGCCTGGCTTATTTCACTTAGCATAATACCTTCTAAGTCTATCCATGTTGTAGAAAATGGCAGGATTTCTTTCATTTTTTATCGCTGGATAATATTCTATCATATATGTGTATCACATCTTCTTTATCCATTCATCTATTGATAGACAATGGTTGCTTTCATATCTTGGCTATTGTAAATGTAACAGTAAACATAGGGGTGCGTATATTTTTTTAAATCAGAGATTTTTGTTTTCTGTGGATAAATTCCTAGGAGTGGAAGTACTGGATCATATGTTTCTATTTTTAGTTTTTTGAGGAACCTCCATACTGTTTTCCACAGTGAGTGCACTAATTTATATTCTTACCAACAGTGTAGGAGGGTTCTGTTTTCTTCACATTCTCTCCAATACTTGTTATTTCTTGTATTTTGGATAGTGGCCACTCTAGCTGGTGTGAGGTGATATCTCATTGTGGTTTTGATTTGCATTTCCCTGATGACTGGCAATGTGGAGCATCTTTCATCTATATTTCTTCTTTGGAAAAATGTCTGTTCAAGTCCTCTGTCCATTTTTTAATTGGGTTATTTGTGGTTTTGTTGTTGAGGCATATGAATTCTTTATATATTTTGGATATATCATTTACAAATATATTCTGCTATACCACAGGTTGGTTTTGTTGATGGTTTCCTTATACAGAGCTTTTTAGTTTGATGTAGTCCTACTTGTTTATTTTTGCTTTTGTTTCCCCTGCCTGGAGATATGTGTCCAGAAAAAAATTATTCTTATTTATGTTTAAGAGATTTTTGCCTATATTTTCTTCTAAGAGTTTTATGGTTTCATGCCTTATATTGAGGTCTTTAATCCACTTCAAGTTTACTTTTGTGTATGGAGTTAGAAAGTAATCCAGTTTCATTCTCTTGCATGTAGCTGTCCAGTTTTCCCAACATCAGTTATCGAAGAGGCTATCTTTTCTCCATTGTTTATTCATGGCTTTTTTTTGCATATTAATTGACCATATATGGTGGGTTTAGTTCTGAGCTATCTACTATGTTCCATTGACCTGTGTGTCTGTTCTTGTGCCTGTACCATACTGTTTTGATTACTGTAGCTTTGTAGTATAGCTTGAAGTCAGGGAGCAAAACACCCTCAGCTTTGTTCTTCTTTCTCAAGATTTTGGGGTCTTTTGTGACTCCATATAAATTTTAGGATTATTTGCTCTAGTTCATTGAAAAATGCCATTGGTATTTTGATAGGGATTGCATTGAGTCTGTAAATTGCTTTGGGGAGAATGATCATTTTGGCAATATTAATTCTTCTTATTCCATGAGCATGGGATAGATTTCTATTTATTTGTGTCTTCAATTGCTTTCATCAGCACAATACTCACTTTTTACTAAAGTGAGATGTTTACTACCTTTTTATTTAATTCATTATTTAAAAAACCCAGAATACCCTTTACAGGTATTTATAGGTATTTGTCTGATCTGGCATACAAATATAGAATTAATTGCTTACAGATAAAGCATGACATGATTACTTAGTGAATATAATGCTGTTTTTTTTAATGCCTCAAAGACATATAAAAAGAAATTTCCTGATATCCTTTTCTGCACATTCATAGCAAGGACTTTTCAGATTATAGAAAGACAAATTATATAGAGCAGTCTAGAAAGCAAATGTTCTGAATTAGAGAACAAGGCCCAATTAACTTTCAGAAAGATTATCTTTGGCACATCCCACCTTAACAGGTTGTTGAAAAAATGTTAAGTGGTGGGGTGTGGAATGTCAGACTTGAAAGTAGTGTCAGCTGTAGGACTAATTTTGACTAAACTTTGGTACAACCCCTCCCCCCCCATAGTGTTCCTTGGAAGTCAATAAATTGCTTTTAGAAGAAGAAGAAAGCAAAATAGCTTCTTTCTGGCAAGTAAATTAGCCTCTAAGAAAATGGAAAGATCCAGAAATAATGAATCATGCCATTTCTGGTATTTTTGCCCCAAAAAGAATTAGGTGAACCTCCTAATTCTGTGCACAGTTTGGTGAATTAAAAACCTTCCTGGAGAGGCAAGCAAAAC